AATAAAATTTTAAATAAAAAATTAATTATATAACAATATATTATATTACAAATTTATAATATTATATAAAATTATAACTATAATATTTTTTAAATATATATTTTAATTTAATCCACTATAAAAAAAAATCTTTAAAGTTTTTTTAAGGTTTACCTATCTTAAAATTTTAAGAGTATAAGATAAGAACTTAACAAGTTATTATTACATAATAATTATAATTCTTTTAAAGGAATAAAATTTTATACGAAAAACATAATTTTTAATTTTTAATATAAAATTAACATATCAAAATTTACTACAATGTTTATAATTAAAGCAAAAAATTAATTTTATTATTTTTTAAAAAATATTATATAATTAATACTCTTTATAAGATAGATTACACCAAGCTTTTTGGATCAAGTGACAGAGTCAAGTGACAATACGTAGTACATTCCCCCTCACAAGCTGGGTTTCAAACCCAACTCTTTGTAAAAATCTGTTAAAAAAAAAAAAAAAATAGGAATATATTTTTTTGCTTTTTGATTAGCAAAGGACATTAATATAATTATTTCAAAGTATAAGATAGATTAATTAAAAAACCAAAAAAAGAAAAAAAGAGGAAGGGGGGATTGCTTGTCCTGAAAACAAAAAGGACAATTCCACTTTTCCTCACATGGAATTATGGGAAAAGTAACGTCCTTTCACAGACCCACCATCATCATTAATGCAATTAAAGGGCACAAATGAAAAAAAGGACACCAAAAAAATAAAAAGATTTAATTTATTTTTATCAAGTCAGAGATTGATTCTGTTTATCAAATAGTTCATGACATCCTGTTTTGGTTACGGTGCTGGTGATTGGTCAGAAGTCAGAACCACCTAGCCTGAAGAGCCTTATTGTGCCTGATCCTGGGTCTCAGTCTCAGACATCAGTGTCCTAACAGCCCATGTACACATTAGAGCTGTTAATGGAGTTTAATTAAACAAATCAAGGGATTTATAATTTTTTCTTCTTAATAATCAGTGTCTCCACCCAACTTAAGCATATTTAGAGATCAAACCTTCTCAACAAGCCATTTACATGGAGGCTAATCTCTTCATTTATCTCTCCAGATAATCAAATCCTTTAAGCAGCGAGCAAATCTCTTGCTAACTAAAGAATGTTGCTAATTAAGCTACCATTCCTTGGTAACAAATTAAGAGATTATTATGTAAATGGAGTTTAACTATTGTCAAAGATGACTAATTTCTTAATTCCTTATTACTAAATTAATAGTAATGGAAAACAAAAAAAGCTACAAATTAACAATAAATTACAGATCATTCTAAATTAAAGAAGGGAAATTTACAGAAACAGAGTATATGCGAGAAGAAAAGGAAAAAAAAAGAGTTACATTATTTCATGTCTCCTTCTCTTCTTCATATTTCTGTAATAATGCTGAAGCTCCCATTTCTCCTCCCTCTGTTTCTTTGATCCTTGAGCGCCTCAGATCTGTGAATCTGCTGGCCTCATTATTTCATCTTCGTTTAGTTTCTTCTCTCTTTATTTTTTATTTTTTTACAACATCAAAACAAACAGAGAAGAAGGGAGAACAGGGCAATGGAGGTGGTAACAGAGGAACCCATCAATTTGATGGACCCAGAAGACGGTGGAGGAATGTGGTAGTAAAAAGGGAAGTAAGGCACAATTGGATTCGGCGGTGGCGGTGTGCCGTAGTTAATGTAATTGGGTGGAGGGTAGTAATAACCCCCGCCGCCACCCTGTGGTGGAGGGTAGTAATAAATGCCGCCTCCAGACGGAGGTGGTGGCGGGGAGTAGTAGTAGTTTCCACCTCCTGGGCTGGGAAAAGAAGGTGGTGGTGGGCAGTACTTAGTAGATGCTGGTGGTGGTGGGGATGGAGTAGGTGGCGAGTGGTGACATGGCCCGCAGGTAGTGCACATTGTGCAGTCAATTTTGTATTTTGGGTCGGTTTCTTTGCCGGAAAACACAACCGGAAGCATAAGGAAGATCGAAAAGATGATTTTCTTGAATGTTTCCATGAAGAAAACAGTAGAAACTTGAGGATCTTAAGCTGGGTTGATCGTTAAGATTCTTGAATTTAGAAAAGAAAAACAGAGGAAGAACAGTGTTGAGGATATTCCAGAAGAAAGATGGAGGACGAGGAAAAGGAGGAGGAGAGGAAGTGAGTGTACTGGGAAGTGAGGGGAAGTGAGAGGAAGACTAATTCGACTGGCTCTTTTTATTGAAGGGATTATTAATTAATAATAATTGAGTTCCTTTTTTTTTTTTTTGGTGGTGTAGTGGACGTAGACAGTGGGCATGAGATACTTCTCTCATAAGTATGTGAGTAGACAAAGGTCATAAGATATCATAGGCACGTAGGATGTCAAAGGTCACGAGATGAGGCATGTTGTCAGTCTGAAGTTGTGTACTCCATGGCTGCCTGAGACGTGCAACCTCTGACATCTGGAGCAGCCCCCGACATTTAGCTACCTCGATTCGATTGAAGGATGGAGAGCTCAGTCGGATTCAAGTTCATCCCCTCTGCTCTTGCTCCGCAGTACTTTTGTACACATGCAAACCCCTCATGAGAAGTACCTACGATGTTTGACACGCGTCGCCTGGGTTTCTCGGAAGGATCAACACGTGGATATCTCCTGAAGGCCTATAAATACCTCTGAAGGTCCACCTCTGAAAGGTATGGGAAATCAACCTCAAACTCAACTTTTACTCTTGCTTCATAACTGGTAGCTCTGACTATTGTTGACTTAAGCATCGGAGTGTCTACCCCGAGAACCAACCTCGGGGCCTTGCAGGATAGCCGAAGTGAAGATTCGAGATCCGGAGTATCTCCCAGTTCTCTGCAACTACATTGGCGCCGTCTGTGGGAAACGAGCTAAAAGCCTTTGCTAGTGGCTGTTACGATAGTTAACACGCGCTCAACGTACCACAGAAGTCTTCAACAAGGGCATGGAAGAGATCAGTCCCTCGACGGGAACCCCACATCTCACCCCGTACCACCTCCTCCAACTCAACACCAGCACATAAAAGGGACCGGGGAAAATAACCCAAACTCACTGGAAATCACAAATGACCCCATAGTCACCCAACTTAACGCCATGCAGCAGCAGTTCGGTGTGTTCCAACTCGTGCTCGCCCAACTGTTAGCTAGAGACAACCCAGGTGATCCCCTCATCACCTTATTAAATCCCACCAACCAAGCACCAAATCACCAGCCTCGACAAAATGTCAGTTCACCAGCTCAGACTGCCGTCCCGCCTCCCAATGAGTCTCAAGCCCATTCCCATGTGGCACCTCAACCTCGACAACCGCCCCAACCGGCTGTCTCAGATCTTCCCAATCAACCGCACTTAGAACAAATGGTGCCCGACAACCGAAGTCCCCAAATCCCGGCTCAGCCAAGTTCTGCCCTTATTCCTACCCCCCTTAACACCAACATCGTTCATGAACCTTACCCACCTGGGTTTAGAATGCCCCAATTCGAGACATATGACAGTACCAAGGACCCTGACGATCACTTGCACGCATTCTACTCCGTCATGCAAGCTCAAAATGCCTCAGACGCCTTGATGTGCAAAATATTCCCTTCTACTCTGCGTGGAAATGCGCAGACAGCTTGTTGCCGAACTCGATCAGTTCTTACGCCGAACTGGCGACGTCCTTGGCCACGAAGTTTTCCAGTCGTCGACTGATTAAGAAAACAACATCCGAGCTCATGCAGGTGGCCGAGAGAGAAGGTGAATCCTTAAAGAATTACATGAACAGATTTAATGATGCGGTGCTGGAGATCGCCTCATTCAGCCAAGTTGTCGGGTTAGCTACACTAATCCAAGGCCTCAAGCATGAGAGGTTCCGAGATAGCCTCATAAAGCACGCCCCTTCCATGTTTGATGAAGCCAATGAAAGATCTTGGAAATTTATCCAAGCCGAGGAATATGCTTTGTCTGGCAAACCAGCTCCAAATAAAGAGGTCAGATCTCTGATCTGGAGAGATGAAGGACAAAACAAGAAAAGATTTAAACCTGTACAAAACTAGGACCCCTTTCTCACCTAAATTGGACACACCCCCAATACCTGCCCCTCAACCTATGACAAAACAAGTTGCTTGGACTCCATTTAACCTACCGAGGTCACAGATCTTAATGCAGATCAAAAACAAAATGGAGCTCAGAAGGCCTCTTCCTATGCGAAGTTCACCCGCCTCAAGGGATCAGAGCAGATATTGTGATTTCCACCAGGACCATGGCCATACCAGTAAGGAATGCAACAGTTTGAAGTCCGAGCTCGAAGGCTTAGCTCAAAGGCTTAGCTCGAAAAGGGCTGTTAAATGAGTATGTCTCTAACTGTGACCAGCTCAAGTTTGTCCTGGAGCAGGGACGACTTCAGGCATCTCGAGATGCAAGCAACCGAACTGGAGTTGGATATCAACAAGCACCACCCCCGCTCCCTCCACCCTCACGCATCATTCACATGATAACAAGAGGTCCGGAAGCTGGAGGGATGAGCTCAAAGCAGTAGAAGCTCTATGTGCGAGAGGTGAAGCATCACAATCGAGCTCCAAATAGAAAATTTGATGAGATAGACTGGAAGAACCAACCTATAACGTTTGGTGCCACTGATTTTGACGGTGTTGTCACCCCACAAACTGATCCGTTGGTCACTTCAGTCATGGTCAATAATTGTGAAGTTCAGCGCGTCCTTGTAGACACAATAAGTGCTCCGGATATCATGTACTACCATTGTTTCGAGAGCCTTGGCCTCGACCCTACCCTTCTACAAAAGTATGACGGCCCCATCTACAGCTTCAACAATCAGCCAGTGCCTGTGGAAGGAATCCTTAAACTCAATGTAGCATTCGGTTCAGGTCGGGCCTATGTAACCCCCTCAGTCCGATTTTTGGTAATGAAGATGGCCTCATCCTTCAACATCGTCATTGGGAGGCAAACCCTGACCGAAATTAGGGCAGTTGTCTCACAATCCCACCTCTGCATGAAATTCCCCACCCCTACTGGCGTGGCGACATTGAGAGGGAACCAGGAGATAGCCCGGCACTGTTACATGACTTCGGTCTCTCGACCTCGGAGAGACAAACAATTAGCAAACCCATACCCACCTCAGCTTGAAGCCCCAACTCAACAGCAAGTCATGGGTGTAGAACTGCTCGATAACAGACCTGAAGGCGAAACCAGAGCCACCCCGGCAGAAGAAGTAGAGGAGATACAGCTTGACGATAACGATCCCACCAAAAAGACACAGATTGGCACCAAGCTGAGCTCCAAAAATCGTG